CCATGTGTATAATAAATTTTGTTCTGTACACTGAGGCATGTGTGTATGTGCACCACCAGTAGAAACAGAGGCTGCCAACTGTGGGCGCTCTGCTAACCAGCTGGGCACTCCAGCTGATCCCCGGTTCCACATTCCACTGTCCCTTTGAAGTGTCACTCCTGCCCCTCAAAGGGGCAGTGCAGTGTGGAGCTGGGGATCAGCTGGGCACTCCAGCTGATCCCCGGCTTTGCATTGCATGGCCCCTTTGAAGTGCCGGAGTGGTACAAAAGCGGCAGCGCAGCATTAACGCCTACGATTACCGCATTAATTTTTTTAACACATTAATCCTGCCCTGTGGTAATCACAGGCATTAACACAGAGACATTGACAGCCCTAATACAAAGTCTTTCTAACTACATTCTTTTCCAGGTCCACATTTTTCATCTGGATCACAGAAACCTCCTTTCCCGCCTCCATGATAAACTGTGTTGCCCTCTATAATGTACAGGCCTGCCACTTTTGCTTGGGTATATTCCTGGAGATTTAATTAAACCTTAATCTTTAATTTTGGAGAGTCCAGAGCAATTCTGGAGAGTTGGTAACACTACATAATGTATTTAAAACTCACTCAGGGTATGTCTACACTACCCCGCTAGTTCGAACTAGGAGGGTAATGTAGGCATACCGCACTTGCAAATGAAGCCCGGGATTTGAATTTCCCAGGCTTCATTTGCATAAGGAAGCCTAGTTCGAACTACCTAGTTCGTTCCCCGTGTAGCCGCGCTGCATGGGGTTCGAACGAGCGGGGTTTTAAAAATGGTGGCGTCCCGCTTATGCAAATGAAGCCCGGGAAATTCAAATCCCGGGCTTCATTTGCAAATGCGGTATGCCTACATTACCCTCCTAGTTCGAACTTGGAGGGTAGTGTAGACATACCCTCACTCTTCTTGCCTGATGCCCTATGGCATTCCACTCTCTGAAGCCCTCCACTGGCTTCCCCTTTTCTGCCATATCAAGTTCAAGCTTCATGTGCTCTCCTACAAGACTTCTTGCCGCTGTCCCCTCCCTAGTTATCTGTTTTTTAATCTTACCAGCTCGTCCCCCTCATCAATCCATTTTGTATTGCTTTTCATGTCATTGCATCACTTCTCTGCTCCTCTTATCAGTCACTTTAGTGCTTTTTTTTGTGCTCCTTCCTTTGCATGTAATAGTATGTCCAATTACATCTGTAAGATTCCTGCCTTCTCTTTTTCAAATTCTGCCTCAGTCAAGTATAGTTCAAACCTTTGGGTGCTACTACAAGATAAAATAATAATTAAGAATATTAAATGCAGTGTTAAAGCTGTGCAATTTAAATTAAAAAGGTAGGAACTGGGAGACGTTAAGGTTTCTAGAACAATGTTAACTGTAGTTTTAAGTAGGGATGTTAGACAGCGATTAAGTAAGTAGTCACGTAACTGCACAGAATGGTTGTTACACAACTATTCGATAGTCCCCAGGCTCCTGCCTGCCACCCTGTCTGCTGCTTCTGCCTGCTGCTCTGCAGCAGCCTCTGTCCATGATGGGCATGAGCTCCCTGTGGACAGAAGCTGTGCCGACATCCCAGAGCGGCCTCTGTCCGTGGTGAGCCTGGGCCTACCAGAGACAGAGATTGCTCCTCCTCTGCTCCCCTCCCTCACTGCTCTGTCTGATAGAGGCAGCAGCACTGGGGGAAGGGTGAGTATGGAGGCTGCTCCTCAGGGCTGGCACACAGGGAGAACTAGCTTGAAAGCTGGCTTCTGCCTGACCCTCTCACCTTCTGAGCTGCAGTAGTGCGGGGATGGGGGATGGCTTTATGGATCCAGTGCTCGTGGGGAGCCGACTTAAAAGTCAGCTCCCCATGGCACTAGCTCCCACTCTACCCCCTTTGCCACTCCATGCTGCTTCCTCTGATACAGAGGCAGCAAGTGGGAGAAAATGTGTGTAGTCAATAATATTAACCGATAAGCCTAGGCTTATCAGTTAATTAAGTGTTCGACTACACACTGACATCCCTAGTTTTGAGCATCCTATATATATATATTGGGCATAGTATATATTTAACAACTGAAACAGAATCATAGAGTAGAAGACTGGAAAATAGTACATATGTGTAAAATGGCGATGTTAACAATGTTATGAGATACTTAAAGCTGAACTGAAAAGTCAAAAAAGAAATTTCATCTTACCACTACTGTTTTTTCATAGATTTTTAAAGTAATTTTTCTTTTGTCCGGTTTTAATATGAATACTGTCAGGTTCTCATGTTAGAGATTTACTGTGGGTTTTTTTTCATTTAGTGTTTTTTAAATCAAAGATTTGTGGAATACTACAGAAATATAGAAACAATTGTGGAAGGATCCTAAAGTTGTAGAGCCTATTATTTTATTGCCACAGTCACAATGGGCCTTACATTTCTGCCATATTCAAAACCAACAATTCTTTTGGAATATGTTCAGCTTTGACAATTATTCACTGCTGATATTGGTGGAAGCTGAAGAAGGTATAGGTTGATGTTGAGAGCTCTTTCACATTTCAAATTACAATCATATAGAATTAGTGCAGAAAAATTCTTCAGAGTGCCTTCCCACTATTGAAGACTCTTCAAATGGACAGCCTCTTAGCTTCTGTTTGTGCTGTGGATCTTTTGAGTCTATAAATACCCTGCCCTTTGCTCTCCACTAGTTCAGTGAAACAGAAGCTTTCCACACACACACAAAATGGCCTTTGAGATAGTAGCAAACCTCAATGTTTCTCTGTTCCAGATTTTGATTTCTTAATTGAAAATATTTCAAACAATCCAATATATCTATATTTATACTTTTCTAAGATTGCCACAGCATCTATTAGCTTCTCTTTCAAAATCACAGTGGGATCTCTTAGTTACAATATCTGAGCTTTGAGACTGCTTTCCTTTCTCTACAGTCACAGTAGATTTGTATTCTGCATTATCCCACAGCATATTCTTGATCTCTGGAATGAAAACATTGCAGAAGCAGTACAGTCATCCCTGGATGAGGGGAGAAGTGCATTATGTCACTAGAATCACTTTGGTCAATCTAGAATCAATGTGAATGGGCTTTGAAGAGAATTCTGTCCAAACTTCACTGGAGTGTGTTTGCTGTGATATGGAGCTTTGAAACAGGGACTGGGGGGAATAGTTTGACAGAAGATCCTGCATTGAGAACCCTTGGAAAATAATCGATGAACCTTCTTTAGAGCAAGGAGGAAGAAAATAAACAGGATATAGTTATGTTTGCATATTACATTTGCAAGCATGTTAAAAAGTATTTGTGTACAGCTCTTAAATAGATTTTGGGTCAGGAGTTTCAGAGGGGTAGCCGTGTTAGTCTGTATCTGTAAAAACTGAGAGGAGTACTGTGGCACCTCAGGGTATGTCTAGACTACATGGCTCCGTCGACAGAGCCATGTAAACTAGTTTACCCTACATAGTCAATGAAGTGGGGATTTAAATAATTCCCGCTTCATTAAAATAAAAATGGCTGCTGCACTATGCCAACAATCAGCTGATCCGGCACAGCGTGGCAGTCTAGATGTGGATTGGTCGACAAGGGAAGCCTTTGTTGACCGCTCCTGTAAACCTCGTTTCACGAGGCATAAGGGAGTGATCCACAAAGGCTTCCCTTGTAGACCGATCCGCGTCTAGACTGCTGCGCTGTGCCGATCAGCTGATTGTCGGCACAGTGCAGTGGCCATTTTTATTTTAATGAAGTGGGGATTATTTAAATACCCGTTTCATTGACTATGTCGGGTAAACTAGTTTACATGGCTCCGTCAACAGAGCCATGTAGTCTAGATATACCCTTAGAGACTATTAGATTTATTAGATCATAAGCTTTTGTGAGTAAAATCCACTTCATCAGATGATGAAGGCTTTACCCATGAAAGCTTATGCCCTAATAAATTTGTTAGTGTCTAAGCCTTGGTATACTCTTACCCTCCCCCCTCCATTTTGAAATAATAAGCAGAGTGTCCACACTACCAAACCCAGTTATTTTGAAATAATGGGCTGCTTATTTTGAAATGTGTACTCCTGCTTTCCTAGGGGAATAACACTTAGTTTGAAATAGTTATTTCAAAATAGCATTAATGTGGATGCTCTGCTGTTGCTATTTCAAAATAACTAATCCCCAGAGTAATTCGAAGTAATTAGTCCCCAGTGCTTCTTCTGATTCTATGTCGAGGTAGTGTGTCCACTTCTATGTCGAGGTAGTGTGTTTTCTACTACTCAGTTATCAACAGTTTTGGAACAGTTGGCATGGAGTCCAAGGGAGCTGCTTCAGTTTAAGACTTCTTCTTCCCCCCAGGACAATGATTCATGCTCTGGGTCTACTCTGTCTAGTTAGGCCTTTAAATGATGGTATAAAGGTATTTGTCTGCAAACCATCATGATAAAAACTGTTAGTGGTATTTACTTTCTTGTCATTCTCATTCTTTGATATTCAATGTTGAATGTATTATATACCAGTAATGTAAAGATTATCCATGAGGTTTTTCCATCATTTCTGCCATTTTTCATAAAATCTATTACTAAGCAAATAGAAGAGTTTGAAAATGTGACATTGTAGTAGGGGACTGTTGTATTTATTCAGTCTTTTCCAGGAGATAAGGCTAAGCAGAAATGATTGACAACATTCTGTATCTTCAGATAATTTACACATTAAGAAATCTCCTCTGTGCCAACTGAATGGAGATATGATTTGTGCCTCCCAAAATTTGTGGCCCTGAGTAAGTGTAGTAACAATATAATCATGGGCACTAGATATGGAAAAGGCCTATATTATTTCATCTAAACCATTCCCCTGCCAGTGGCGGGAACAATTCTACATTCTAAAACAATAGCATCTATATTTAAATCACATATGCCACCTTGCCAGTAATATTTATTTTGAAACATTTTTCATTTAATATTGATTCATGTTTTATTAGGATATGCTTAGCTGTTTTTCTGTTCCTTCTTATTTGCCTATGCTATTTTGTAGATTGAATCTTGAAGAGGAATTAGATCAGATGAAAGTATGTAGATCCATGGATAAAGCTACAATACAAGACCTGAATCTGTGTCTGCAACAAGAAAGGGAAGGTAAAAATATGATATAATATTCTATTATGCTGAAAATATTTTATTTGATGGGTTTTCTTTTATCACAAGAACATTTTTTAAAATTTCTGATTTGGAATTCTCCCAACACAAATATATATAAGCTACAGTTACACTTTTTTTAGCTCTCTACATGATTCATAAATTAGTAATCATTCATCCTAAAAGGAGATAGGATTTACAAAACTTTGTAACCTCTGAAAATTCAAGTGGTGTGGTGTCCAGATCCAAATGCTATAAAAACTGCAAGTTCAGATTCAGAATGTTTATGTTATCTCTAATAACCAAATAAATTTGGACATGACCCAAAATAGTGGAAATGCATGAAAATCATAGAATACTAGAACTGAAAGGGACGTCGAGGTCATCAAGTTCAGTCCCCTACCCTCATGGCAGGACCAAGCACCATCTAGATAGATGACTATCCAACCTGCTTTTAATGTCTAGCCTGCTCTTAAATATCTCCAATGATGGAGATTCCATGATCTCCATAGGCAATTTATTCTAGTGCTTAACCACTCTGACAGTTTTCCTAATTTTCACCCTAAACCTTCCTTGCTGCACTTTAAGCCCACTGCTTTTTGTCCTATCAGAGGTCAGTGAGAACTATTTTTCTCTCTCCTTGTAACATCCTTTAGGTACTTGAAAGTTGCTATCAAGTCCCCTCTCAGTCTTCTCTTTTCCAAACTAAACAAGCCCAGTTCTTTCAGTCTTCCCTCATAGGTCATGTTTTCTGGACCTTTAATAATTATTGTTGCTCCTCTCTGTATCTTTTCCTATTTCTCCACATTTTTCTTGAAATGCGGTGGCCAGAACTGAATACAATAGTACAGATGAGCTCTAAACAGCGTAGAGAGTAGCAGAATAATTACTTCTCCTGTCTTTCTTACAACACTCCTGCTCATGCATCCCAGAATCATGTTTACTCTTTACAGGAATGTCATATTGTTGACTCATATTTAGTTTGTGATCCACTGTGACCCCTAAATCCTTTTCTGCAGTACTCCTTCCTAGACGGTCCCTTCCCATTCTGTATGTATGAAACTGATTGTTCCTTCCTAAATGGTTCCTTCCTTGCTGCTTTACTTGAAATGTCTGGGGACTACACCAAAGTTCAAGAGAACCATTTTAGTCCAACTGGGAATTGCTTTTCTAAAAGGTTCCCGATGCTCAGCAGAACCGGTAGGGATATCCTCGGGTGTAAGTGTGAAGAATTCCATTGTTGGGGAACTGCAGTATTGGTGAGAAGCCTTATCTCCCCCCCCCTTTTTCTCTGGTGTTGGCTGCTTTCTATTTCCATTTCTGTAGAAATGTTGGCCAGCTTGGTAAAATAAAATAAATTAACATTCTTTCAAAAATGTATGTTTTACATCTAGTTCCAAAAAAATCTGTGAAAGCATCCGGCTGCTAAAAATAGCAAGTGGTTGGATTCTCACTTACTGTTCATTAGTTACTATTTATAAAACAAACCAACCAAACAAAAAAAACCTAACAACCCCAGACAGGGTGTGTTGATTTAAATTGCCAAGTAGAAAGCCTTGTTTTAAAGATTTGATTCATTTTAAACAACGTTTCCATTTATTTCAGCTATTTTTTTAAATAATTGCATTCTCATTGCATTCTCACTCACCTTGGTTTTTTTCCAGTTTTAGTCTACTTTCAAACAGAACCAGGAATAGAAAGGTAGCCGATAGTTAGGAATGAGCTGGATGAAAGCTGAGAAATAACTGTCACTTTCTTAAAAAATTCAGATATTGGGAATCTTAAAGGCTCTTAAAGTATTTAAACACTTAAATGAGCCCTAAATCTTTATAAAATAAAACTTCTTTATTTTATTACATACATATTACTCTCTCCTTAAAGAAAATATTTCCTCAACTATGCATAGGCTATGCATATACATTGGTCACTTGTGCTTCTGAAGTGATTGAAGACAAAAAGGTTAAACACAGTTGAGTTGTGTGGATATCAAGTTTAATTGCATTTCCTATCAATTGTTGCTTACCTGAACACTATAAATATTAATATTTTTTCTAGAAATAAGTAGCTGGCTGAAATCCAAGGATATATTTTAAGTAAAAAGTCTCATTAGTGTGTCAGAATGAATTTATTCCAGCCTTCTGAAGGTAATGTTTACCATTTCAGTTTCAAAAATGACTCGCTCATCCATGCTGCAATGATGAGCTGCTTCTCTTGTGTTCCTCCTGCACACTTTAGAAGATGCAGAGCTGGAGAGAACCTGATGTCATAGACAATTTTAATAAATCTTTTGTTTGAACAAGTTGGAGCATGTTACAATTGAAAACTTGATGTGTATAAAGTTTCTTATACCACCTTAACTTTAATGTACAAGAATGGACAGATTTTACAGTGACCATAAGGAGAGGGTAGGGGCCCTACCCTTCTAGAGATTCTTAGTGAGGGTTTGCAAAGACCAGGAGTGGGCAAGAGAGCCTCTGTTGGCTGAATCCGGCCTGCCAAGCCGGTTGATCTGACCCGCAGCTGCCCTGCTGCTATCCCTCTCCCAAGCCAATCGAGACCTGGTGACTGGGGAGCACGCAAAGTCTCTTTTCCCCACCAGAGGCTGTTCAGAACAGCTGGCAGTTCTTTCTAGGCACTGGAGGGTAGGGCACAAAAACTTGACACACTCCCTCACCCCCAGGCCAATCAGGGTCTGTGGGCAAGGGAGTACGGGAAGTGTCCTAGCCCTGCCCCTTCCGCCCGAGGCTCCTCCCCTTCTGGGGTGATCTGGGGTTACTTCAAAGATGTGTAAAGTGGGCCCCTCCTTCTAAAATTAGTGCCACCGCTGGTCAAGACACACAATGGTTATTTTTGGTTAAAACCCAACAAGTATTTTCAGATTGACTCAGATGCACAGCCATACAGTCCGTAGTTGAATGCAACTAAGTCTATTAAAGTGTAGAAATGAATCCTGTTAAGCTTAGAACCAAGAAGTTATTGTTTAGTTGTTAGGACAGAAGCCTTGAGGGATACTTATAGATACTTCTGTTTTTGGTTGGTTGGTCGAAGGGTTTTCCCTGTCTTTTTTTAGGGTTTAAACTACCTATAGAAAATATCCATCTACATGTGTTTTTCAGTTTTCTGTTTTGTTTGGGAAAAAACCTTTTTAATAAGTTCATAACCCTGAAATCCCAGATTGGAGAGAGTGATTGTGTGGGTTTTTTTGTTTTTTTGTTTTTGTCGGGAGGAGGTAGAGAAGGCACTGGTAGGAAGTTGTTTTTAAGTTTACCTGAGTCTCCTTTTGACCATCTTTCTAGATTCTCAGACTACTCCCTACTTCAGGGGTTCTCAAACTTCTTTGCCCTATGACCTCCTTTGATAACAAAAATTACTGCATGATCCCTGGAGGGGGACCAAAGCCTGAGCTGCAACACATCAAATGCATGGGGGAGCTTGAGCCCATTGCCCTGCATTAGGGAGAGGAGGGGCACAAACCTGATGCCCCAGGTATTCAGTCCAAGGCAGGAAGCCTGTAAGATGAGCCCCAACACTCACAGCTGAAGCCCTGAGCTTTAGCTTTGTCCCTTGGTGGTGTGGAGTTTGCAGACAGAAAATATAGGTCTGAAGCTGCAGATCTCCTATGTGCAGGAGGGGAACACAATTTCTGGGTGTGTGCTAAAGTGCACAGAAGCTGAGTTCTGCTACCACAGAAAGATCTGCAAATAGTAGCATTATTTTTGTACAGATTAGGAAGCAAGCTCATAGACAGCGAGCTTTCTAAGCTAAACTGGAGCGGGGAACAAAGATATATGTATTACATTTTCACACTTTGTTGGGTAAAGTGTTAGGTATTAGCATTTGGCTGCATGTGTTTCCCCAGTTGGCTTCTATGACAGATAGCTGTTAATCAGAACCTAAATTACACTACTTTTGAGAAAGTTTGAGGTGAATCTATTCAGTCATTTAGTAATTTGAATGACTTAAGTTGTTTTTAAAAATGTGGGGCTGGTGTATCGCTTTCCTCAGCTCTCTCACAGACCACTCCATTTTAACAGTTAAAACTTTCAACAGAAATAGATTTAAAATAAGCACAGTAGAAGAATTTAAATTAAGGTTTTGAATTACATTATTGAAAAACAAGCAAGTAATGATAAGCATTTTGTGTGTTTTTCTTTTTTATGTATACCATGAAACTCTAACCCTCAGTTTATATGAAAAATTGAACACACCTTTAACTATAGCAGAGGAGGGCAAGATATGTGTCGCATGCTGGATCCGGCCTATCAGCCATCTTGCTAGGACCCTCAGGCACACAGATACTGCTGTTTTAAGTGGAAGGGCTGCTACATATGGCTCTCTGCTCTGGAGGGAGGGAGAGGGTTTGTGTGATCTCCCTGCCTTCAGACCAATCCTCAGCTCCTATTAGCTGCAAACTTCCGGCCAATGGGAACTGACCCGAGCCAATCTCTCAGCTCCTATTGGCCAGAAACTACCAGCCAATAGGAGCTGAGAGATTGATCTTGGGGATGGCGCCAGAGTAAGCTTATCCCCCCATCCCAGAGCTGAGCTCCACATGGAGGGAACAGCCTGCAATTTTAAGTGATGTGGGGCTGCAACAGAAAGGGAGCCCAGCCTGTTTTGGGTATGCAGCAAGGCAGCTGGCCAGGAGATGCTTAGGGGAATGCCTCCCAGGCAAAGCCTGCCTCTGGCACCCTTGCCCCAGGTCACCATCCAAACCATCAACACCCTCCTGCCCCAGGTCACGACTAGGGATGTAATAGTGCAGTCAATTAACCAGTAAGCAAAAGCTTATAGGTTAATGATATAGACTAAACGCATTTCCCTCCTCTTCCCAACCAGTAAATTTTTTAGCAGGCTGGCCAACAGCCCGGCTCAGTTCTGACTCATGCGGGGTCCAGGATCTACCCCCACTGTGACTCTTCATTTAAAGTGTATTAGGAGCTGGGCGGGCAGGTAACCTGGCTCAGTTCCATTTTATGCGTGGTCTGGGATCTCAGACC